ACTAAACAAGAAACCCCCTTTCCCCCCTCCCCCAATGCCTGGTAACCACCATTCTACTTTCTGTTTCTATGAACTTGACTACTGTAGATACCTCATAGAAGTGGAATCACATTATTTGTCATTTTGTGACTGGCTTATTTCATTTAACATAATATTCTCAAGGTTTATCCATGTTATAGCATTTCCTTTCTTTTCAAGCCTGAATAGTATTCTGTTGTATTTTGTTTAACCATTATCCCTCAGTGAACATCTGGATTGCTTCTACCCCAGACTCTTGTGAATAATGCTATGAACATAGCTTTACAAATATCTCTTTGACACCCTGCTTTCAATTCTTGTGGCTATATGCCCACAAGTAGTATTGTTGGATTAAATGGTAGTTCAATTTTTAATTTTTTGAGGAACTGCCATGTTTTCCATTGTGGATGCACCATTTTACATTCTCACCAACAGTGAACAATGATTCCAATTTCTTTGTCCTTTCCAGCACTTCTTTTTTTTCTTTTCCCTTTTCTCCCTTCCTTCCATCCTTTCCATCCTCCCTCCCTCCCTTTCTTTTTTCTTTGTAATCATCCTAATGGGCGTGAGGTGATATCTCATTGTGGTTTTGTTTTTCATTTCTCTGATGATTAGTGATGTTGAGCATCTTTTCACCTCTCATCTCCTTGGTTAGATTTATTCCCAAGTATTTTATTCTTTTTGATGCTATTGTTGTTAGTGTATAGAAACACAACTGATTTTTGTGCATTGATTTTGTATCCTGAAATTTTGCTGAATTTCATTGTTAGTTCTAATTGGTATTTCTTAATTTTTGCTTTTTTAATTTTTTTATTCAAGTATAATTGATATGTTCTAGTAGGTTTTTTTTTCTCTAGTAATTTTTTATGGAATATTTAGGGTTTTCTACCTATAAGATGATGTCATTTAATAACAGATAATTTTACTGCTTCCTAATTTGGATGCCTTTTATTTTTTCTTGCCTATTTGCTCTGGCTAGGACTTCCAACATAATGTTGAATAGAACTGTAGAACTGGCGAAACTAGGCATCCTTGGAAAAGCTTTCAGCCTTTCACTAGTATGATGTTAGCTATGGGATTTTCACGGATGGTCTTTATTATGTTGATGTCATTTCCTTCTATTTCTAGCTTGAGTGTGTTTATCATGAAAGTGTGTAGAATCTTGTCAAATGCTTTGTCTCCATCAATAGAGATGATCGTGTTGTTTCACCCTTCATTTTGTTGTGGTTGTGTATTACACTGATTGGTTTTCCATTGTTGAACCATTCTTGGATTCCTGAAATAAAGCCCACTTGATCATGGTGTATAATCCTTTTAATGTGCTCTTCAATTTCAAACTGCTAGCACCATGCCCACCTTCTCTTTATTGTTCAAATTTTAGTATACATGCTGCCAAAGTAAGAACTCCTGCGGCTTTATTTTTTAAATGGGGCATAAAGTACTTTGAATTCCATGATGTACTTTGCATTTCAGTTACCAAATGAGTAAATGTCTCAAAGAGCAAGAATTCTTTTCCATGCTTGAAACACTGACAAAAATTAAGACACACTTGCTGGTTCATCTCATTGTTCCCTTTGCAGAAATGGCATCACCTACTACATAATATACCTCAATTGTAATGTCGGAAAGTGACTGCTCCTTTGGAAGGTGCTCTGTAACAATGTGACCCACAGAAATCATCCGGATTTGCAGGTTCTAGGAAACCCTATGAAACTTGTTTGTAAATATACGCCAATTGTTTAAAATAAAGGAGTCTGAATAAGATGTACCGGGAATTCAGTTCTACTACGGACTCAATAATTCAACCTCTAGGGTACTTAAAACACAGCCCCTCCTGGTAAGAATGTGCGGAGTGTGTGGAGCATAGCGGTGGATTCATTTTTTCTGCCCGAGGAGAGATGCGAACATAAACGCCGAGTACTCGGGACCATGAAGGGCACAATTCTTTGGAGAAAAGTTCCAGGGACCACACAATTGTCAGTTAACAACAGCTACGGGGTGGGGCGCCTGGGTGGCTCAGTCGTTGAGCGTCTGCCTTCGGCTCGGGTCGTGGTCCCGGGGTCCTGGGATCGAGCCCCGCATCGGGCTCCCTGCTCGGCGGGAGTCTGCTTCTCCCTCTCCCACTCCCCCTGCTTGTGTTCCCTCTCTCGCTGTGTCTCTCTCTGTCAAATAAATAAGAAATCTTTAAAAACAAACAAACAAACAAAAAGTAGAAGACTCTTTGAGAAACTTAAAATAAATTGTAAAAAAAAAAAAAAACAACAACAACAGCTACGGGGAATTTCTGCTTCTATGTCACAACTCATCGGACTTTACTGGGACTGGCCCAGAGTGAAGAAAAGAAAAATGCACAGTTCATTTATTTAACAGGTGTTTACAATACCTAGGCATGTGTCAACTTCCGGGAAGCGTCCTGCCAGATGTGGCCCAGACAGGGAGCAAACGAGGAAGAGAACCTCTCCACAGGACGCGGGTCCGAGAGAGAAGCTGGAGGAGGAAACAAAACCGAAGCGCCCAACTGAGAAAAAGGCAGCACCTGCTACAGAGATCGACCCTTGCCGACTGCTCAGGTTCTGCGGCTGCGCCCGGAGCGGCGCTTCGGCGCTCGTGATGGCGCATGCTCCCTGAGCTGCAGGGCGCCTCGCACTCGCATCAGCGCCTGCGCAGCCGTAGTTTCTCCTCACGCGACTCCACTCCCGCCCCCTGTCAGGGCGTTATTGGCTCCTTAGGGCCTGGGGTAGGGTGCGATGTGGCACGAGCTGTGTGGTACTTGCCAGTTACCCGATAGGCGGTGCTCTGGCCTAGAAAGAAAGGTGAATTCACAGACTTTTTTTTTTTTTTTTAAAGATTTTATTTATTTGAGAGAGAGCACATGAGAGGGGAGGAGGGTCAGAGGGAGAAGCAGACTCCCTGCTGAGCAGGGAGCCCGATGCGGGACTCGATTCCGGGACTCCAGGATCATGACCTGAGCCGGTCGCTTAACCAACCGAGCCACCCAGGCGCCGTCACAGGCTTTTTTTTTTTTTTTTTTTATCGCATTGTTTCCTCTGAGACGCTCAGACCGCACCCTCTCTCCTGCCGCTGCTGTCCGAGAAGCATCTGGAAGCTGAACACCCCGGAGGTGATGGACACCTCAGAAATATCCCTTATTTGTCTTCCCTAGGAAGCTGAATTACTAAGTTGAGTAAGAGTTACTTTGAAGAAAGGAAAGGAAAAAGGAAAACTTAACGCACACACGTTGACATATTCACAGAATAATCTCAAAGAAGGGACCAGCAACTGCTAACTGATTACCTCAGGGGACAAAGGACTGGGTGGCTGAAGGACACGGGCATGAGGAATGTTTTTTGTTTTTTGTTCGTTTGCATCCTTTGAAAATTTGCCCAGTGTGCATGTATTATTATTATTTTTTTTTAATGTTTGAGTATTTCCTTGATCCCTTTGTCAAAATGTAGACACGAAATTCGGAAGTTTAAGAAGTCTGAGTAAAATTCAGTAAACTGGATAGAATTATATGCACATGTTAAGATAAAACGTCTTGTGTAAAACCACCAGGTCTTCCCGTATAGTTCCGGACAGAGATCTTTTGGGGGTTAGGGCCGGGGGGTGGGGGGGGCATAGGAAAAGAGAACCAGGCACTTTCGGAAAATTATTGGCATTGGTGGCATACAGGAAACAAATCTTTATCATCTCAATTGTTGTATGTTCCCTTGGATTTGCCAAAGAAAATTAAAAGGTAAATTTTAGTGGGAACTCACTAAATATGGATATTTGATGTTTATTTTTGTAAAGGAAATTAACTGGGTGTGACTGGCAGGGTTGAGACCTGAAGTTCCTCTTCTAGATAAGGAAAATTTCTTTTAGTGAGTAATCTCCAGACTGATTATAGTATACTCCTGGCCCCCAACCTTGCAAGATAACTTCATGCTTCCTCCTCTGAGGGAAGTCATGAGAAAAAAAACTAGTCAGCTGGGCTTAAGAGGATTTGTAGGCAAAAGGCCCATAATGAAAGATGTCTGATCTCTCTCATTCCGTGGGTCAACTGAACCCCTTCAGTTTCATTCACCACTGAGTGGTTAGTGGATCTAGAGCATAGGAATTTGGGACCAGAGATTGGGAGTCCCCACAAGTGGAAAGTGTGAAGTCAAATGCCAGAGGTTTGTAATGTTGCTTCTTAGTTTGCCTTGTTTGTAAGTAGGAAGCCAGAAGCTGAACTCCCAAATAAGATGTTTTAGGAATAGTGTTTAAGTAACTTTAAATGTCAGTACACGGACAAAGAAATAAATGAAGCCTAGTGGGTAATGCATCAATCAGACTAAACAGTGAACAGCACCTGGAAATAGGAATTCCCCACAGAGGAGAAAAACCACATTACAGAAGAGCATACTTAGTAAAATTTATTTTTTTTAAAAAAAGAAAAACAATAATTTATGCCCTTGGCAAAATAAAGGATCTTGTCAATATAAATGTTCCTTAGAAAACATATGAAAAGATAATATAATATATATATCAATAAATCAATATCAACCTTACAGCAAAAGCAATGATTCCATAAAAATGATAAGTGAGGATATTTCTGGCCCTTACACCACAGTATTTCTGGAAGGTCCTAGGATTCCTCCTTTTTTTTTTTTAATTTTAGATGTGCCCTTATTTTAAGAAACCCTGATGTACACATATCTAAATTTAGAAAGTCCATTGATTACCTTTACAATCAGTAATTCTATTTATTTATGTGTGTATGTAATCTCTGTGCCCAATGTGGGGCTCAAACTCATGACCCCAAGATCAAGAGTCACATGCTCTACCAACTGAGCCAGCCAGGCGCCCCATACAATCAATAATTCTTTAAAAAAAAAATCAACAAGAAGGTTTCTATAAGGGATCCTTCAAATTAGCAAATTTTCCTAATGTGTTTAAAATATACTTAACCAAATATATGTGTCCCCAACTTCTTTCGTTATAGTTCTGTTGCATAAAGCGAGGTATACCTGAAGTGAAGCAATAACAGAGTTGGGCGTCAGACCTGACTGGAGAGAGTGTACTCTTACTTACAGTATGAGGAAATGTTTGGGGGCACAAATTCAATCTTTTGTTCCTCTCATCATGAGCTTTTACTTTTTTTGTCTCTACCACTTTCTGGTAAATTTTGCTCACCTAGTACTCTCAGGAAAAAAGGAGGAAGTCATATAGGAGGGGGCGGATTCATGAATTAGTGAGTCACTCCAGCAGAGCAGAGTGAGAGGAGAATCTGGGATGCAGAGTGTGTATGTGGACATAGTTGGGGGAAAGCAGGAGCAATTCTGAACCCTTGACATGCTTTTGAGGCCCCTCTCCCAGTAGGGGCACCTGATTCCTCTTGAGGAACAGCAAGGCCCAGCCCAGCCCTCCCCGGATGGGACTCATGCTCAAGAGAATGGACTTGGGCCTATTTGTCACACTCCTCCTGGCTCCCTTCAGCACAATGGTAGTGCAGCTCACAGAACTCCTGGATCCGGCTACAGGCCTCCAGCATCATCACTTTGGGGACTGTGATTACCACTCGGAAGAAATTCGGGTACTCGAAGCACTGCAAAAATAAGCGTCTGTTATTTTTGTAGCAGTTGAATCTGGTACTAACCCACCCTAAAATGACCAGGGTCCCGATCAGCAAGAAGCAGTGATGTCATTTACTCAGAGCTATCAGTTCGCTCAGTTCCGCTGTGGAAGGTGAAATGAAATGGGATCACTTATGTCAGGGGGTTTTAAAATGGACCCAGGAGGTCATTAAGGAGATGGACCTTATGCACCTCTTTACCGGTGAATCCGTGAATTTTTGAACTGGGCTAAACCACGAATCTTAAAAGGACTCAACCAGAGTCCTCAGTTACTCCTTACTGCAACTTGCTATAGTAAGAGTCTTTGTTCAATGATAGCTTTAGTAACCAATTATATTCAGCCTAGATTAGTTTTCTGCCACCAATTAAAATTCTTTATAAACAATATATACAAACATTCCATTTTGTCTTTAAAAACCCTTGACTTTTGTTCTGGGGGGATGGGACAGGTAGGGGGTGGGAGGATACTATTTGGGTTGCTGCCTAAATCTGTGTTCCCCAAATTGCAATTCTGAGACACCAAATAAATATTTTTGTTTTATTTTAGCTCTGCTTCTTCTCTGAGTTGACACCCATCATTGGGGTGCTAAGTCTAGAAAGAGTTAATTCATCTTAAAAGGGACTTGTGTGACAAGCTTACTTCCCCTCACCTAAAATGTTCAGCCACAACTTTTCTTCCCAGTACAGATGGGATAATGATGGGGGAGAAACAAATTTTAAATCAAGGCCATGAGACACATCAGTTTAAATTTTATCAAATGAGAATACACATTGTTGGGGGAGGAAAAAATCAGGTTAAGGACCAACTCAGGGAGAGCTCCTAAGGCTCTAGAAACAGTTGAGAACGTCCTGAGAGAGACATAAGCACTCACCGTTGCTGGGAGGCAGTGGACTGATTGCTCAGCAACTAACCGCTCCGTGAATTCCACATCATTCTCAAATTCTGGGAAATGTTCCATCTCAATTCCAACCTACACCAATAACAGGGAGAGGCAAACTTATCAGAAGGAGGGAAAACAGGCCGACTTCCTATGCTAGAAATTAAGGTAGGGTGGCTCTACAAAATATCTTGGAACTCTACTACTGATAACTAAGAGCTCTAACACTTAGGTGCTCATGGAATTTTTCATAGGGAAGAGAGGATATATTTATATGAATATTTTAGTTTTTTGAAGCATTCTTTCCTGGACAATGATAAATGAGAGCTGCAAACAGAATGCCAGTGTTTCTCTAAAAAGGCAATATAAGCATTATGGGCCAGGAAATTCTTAATTGCATGGAACAATCCCACCCATTGCAAGAGATTTTAGTATCCCCAGTCCACAAAATGCCAAGAGCATCCCCCCACACCTGCCCCAAGTCATTCTGCAAACAAACAAAATTCCCATATATTCCCAAACACCCCTAGGGAACCAGTATCAGTCCTAGTTGAGAAGTGCAATGGTGTGGAAAGCCTCTTATTTGTGTCTTATATCTTCCCTGTATCTATACATAAAACAATTTTCTGAATCAAGAAATTAAGTCATTTTAAAAGGGGTTTTTTTGTTTGTTTTTTTTTCAACACTGAGGTTAAATCACGTTATTGAGGCAATTCAGAACAAGGGGATTCCTAAAATGACTGGCCCAGAAGCTTAGTTGGTTGTCTTTGTGAGTGCTGCAGACTGGCTTCTGCTTGCCCTACAGCAAATGCCTGCCACCCACACACTTACCATGAGGTACATGGCCCCAGAAGGACGGACTGGCTGGAGTCCAGGGATGGCAGCCAATGCCCCATAGCAAAGATCAGCATTGGACTATAAGAGGAGGAAGAAAGATGTCAAGGATCAAAATTTAAGTGAAAGAAAACCAAGTCATTAAAAGTAGAGCCCACACCAAAGGCAGGGAACCTACGTTTGCTCTGCTGGCATAAGGAGTCAACAAGAAAAAGTCCAGTCCCTGGAAGCTTTTGGCCCAGGAGCCGAGTAAAGTGCCAGAAATGAGATAAATGTCAGGGTGGATGGTTACACTAATGCCACCTCCTGATTTGGAAGCCCTGTAATGGGACATTGCTCCAGAAATGAGGACCCATTATTCCTAATTCCCCTGGTGGCTTTCCCTGACTGCCAGAGTGGAAGGCCATGGGCTGCCCTTACCTTCAGGAAGCTCAGGGTGTTGTGGTAGAACTCCTGAGGGGTGCGATGCAGGATGCTTTTCAGAGCTCCCTGGACGATGGTGCAGGGCCCCAGGATCCGCTGACTCAGCTTCACCAGCCCATCTCGGATCTAAAGTGCCCCGGCAAACATATTACTCAGCTTTCCTTAAGTGTTTCAGCTTTGGGGATGCTTGTTCTGACCGTTCTGTTCATCAGGTTTTTAATCTCTGGGGAAGTGATGACGCCTAGTGGCATTCTTGGATCGGACGGCTTGGGTTTCAGCCCAGCTCTGTCACACGCCTCCTGTGTGACTCTGGGCAAGTTATACAACATCTGAGTGCCTCATCTGTCTCACCCGTAAAATGCAGGTAAGACTAACCCTGGCCTCGTTGGGTTGTTGGGAGGATTAAGTTAAAATAACGTATTTTGAACGCTGGCATATCGTGAAGCCTGCAAACAATATCAGGTGTCATTAGAGCTATTGCTTCCTTTTTTTGCAGTCCCAAAATCAGAAGCAGATGGAACTTCTTCACAGAGCCAGGTACAGGAAAACTGAGTTTTGGAGAGGAACAACTAGTGCCATCTTACAGGCATCTTTCCAGGCACCCAGAAACTACAGGGCCAAGAAGAAGGAAAAAACAACACTAGAGCAAAAATCACCTCCTAACCACTGGGCATGCAAAGTAAATACAAGTACGTATACTAAATTAGACATACCGTTTCAGCACATTGTTCTTACCTCGTTGCCAAAAATGTCTCTTCGGTCATGGATGAGGATCCAGCCCAACCTCCAGCCAGGAACCAGCCAGCGCTTGGCCAGCCCTCCACAGGACAGGATGGGGACGTTTCTGCTGAGGGTGGCCAGAGGCTCAAATTTGGAATCCGAAAACACCTGAGGAGAGGAGATGCTTGTTAGAGTTGTCTTCTGGCTTATTTTCCTCCAAATCCCGTCTCCCACGCTTTACCTTGGGTAACTAGGGAAAGGGCCTTGGATTTCTGGGCTCATCCTACCCCAAAGCATGATTGGGAGCCCAAGAGGCTTCGAAGGAGACTATCCCAAGATACTTAATCTGGTGTCTGGTCTGGATTAAAGGAAGCCTACAATGAGGACACCGATCCTAGCCTAGGAATACGTATAACCCAATGAAGCTCTAGGGAATGCATGCCTGTTGGAATTAGAGATCTAAAAATAAAACAGGAGCCCACAACCCTTTGTCTGAAATTCCGGGGCCTGTATTTAAATGTTGCAGAATGCAGAATTGTTTGGATTTTGGAGAAGTTATGTAGCACATGTATCATCTATTACATAACACCAAGACAGTCTCAGACAGCACTCCTAATCAAGCATATTAACATTTCTGTCCTTTTCCTTACCTTTTTGACAAATATATAGATCTGTGAGATATATAAAAAAATCTGCAAATATCTTTATATCAGGTCAAGTCAGGTTTTTCCACCAAATGAATTTCAAAAATCTTCAGATTTTCATAGCTTTTTGGACTTTGGGAAACTGGCTAAGGTGTCGTAGATCTATACGTATGTTTTTTAAGGAGGGGGAGAGGGAGAGAGAGAATCTTAAGCAGGCTCCACACTCAGTGCAAAGTCCGACATGGGACTCGATCTCACAACCCTGAGATCACGACTGAGCTAAAATCAAGAGTTGGATGCTTAACCGACCGAGCCAGGCACCCCGATCTATTTATTTAGAGTGCAGGGATACTGATTTCCTGTACTGAAATGATTAGGAATTACTTCTGGTTATTCTAGATGCCACCTCTAAAGGGCCCATGAAATAATTTGGAAAGGAGATTATTAGAGTGATATATCCTGCCCAAGACTTACCATGTCTCCATAGATCTCATCAGCCAAGATGGGGACACACTGCCTTGCAGCCACTGAAAATAAGAGAAACAGGCTCAAATCATTTTTAATGTGAATTGCCTTAGCAATTATTATTCACCTGGACTTATTTTACTTTGCATTTCATGTTTGTGTGTTTTGTTTTCCTCTTTAAGAACTATATATTCTTCCTACACCCTTCCAGGGTACAGAGCCTAAATCTGCCATTTAATCAACTGGATATTTCAAACCCTCTCTTCCACATATGGAAATGGTGCAGAGGCAAGTGCTGCCTTTTTCGCCTTGCAGGCAAGTCCTACTGTTCCTGTAGCATACTATTCACTGGACACCCCCGTGGAGTTCCCCCATTTCCATCCTCAGCTTGGAACTGACTCTTTCCTCATTCCAGGAAACAGATAAAGGATTCCATCCCCGTATCTGCTCCTTTGGTCAAATGAAGTCTGATGGACTTACCAGCCAGAATTTTCTGGAGATGACTTTTACTGAACACTGACCCACAGGGGTTTGATGGATTATTAACAATGAGACAAGCCGTCTTTTCATCAATCAGAGATTCCAATTGTTTCAAGTCAATTTCCCAAGACTTCTCTGGCTGGGGAGGAAGAAAGGGTGAGACTAAGATGATTCTGAAAAATTTAGGGGGAACACTCACCTAACAGTGTCTTCTAAATAATAAAATGTGTTTGTGGCCTCTACCACCCACTTCCAGATCTTTCTGTGCTAAGATAATGGTCATATATTATTACGACATAATAATTGAGCCCTGGGCGCCTGGGTGGCTCAGTCGTTAAGCATCTGCCTTTGGCTCAGGTCATGATCCCAGGGCCCTGGGATCGAGCCCCGCATCGGGCTCCCTGCTCCGCCGGAAGCCTGCTTCTCCCTCTCCCTCTGCCTCTCCCTCTCCCTCTCCCTCTCCCTCTGCCTCTGCCTCTGCCTCTGCCTCCCTCGTCCTGTTCGTGCTATTTCTCTCTCTCTCTCTCTGTCAAATAAATAAAATCTTATAAAAAAAATAATTGAGCCCTTGAGTCTAAAATTAAAAAGCTGTTTACCAATAAATTGTAGAGTTTGACCTCAATTCCCATCGATTCAGCCAATGTCCTATAGAGAGAGAAACCAGGTCTCGGAACTAGGATGTTTTGTCCTGGGTTGGCCAACACAGCTAAACAAAGTTCAATAGCCTGACTGCAGCCACTAGTCAGAATGACATCCTGTAAAGAAAGAAAAGGCTCACTTTGTTAGGGGTTCCAACAGCAGCAAGAGAAAAGAGATTATCAGATGGGTGAGTGGGGAGCAATAATGAACTTACTTTTTCAAGTTCTAAGTAAAGTAGTAAGGACTGTATGCACTAAGCCAAAATTGAAAGAAATTAATGTTTGTGTATATCCATATCTAAACGTTGAAAATGTTGACTACTTAAAAGACGTAAATTACTTGGGGCACCTGGGTGGCTCAGTCGGATAAGCATCCGGCTCCTGATTTTGGCTTTGACCATGGTCTCAGGGTCATGGGATCAAGCCCCGCAACAGGCTCCACGCTCAGCAGGGAGTCTGCTTGAGATTCACTCTCTCCCTCTTCCTCTGCCCCTCCCTGTTCTTCCTCTCTCTCTCTCTAAACTAAATAAATAAATCTTTTTAAAAAAAAAAAGTAAATCACTTTAAAAAGGATATGGCAGCTGTGACTCAGCAGACTTCCATGAGAGATCATTTTGACCTTGGACTTTTTCACGTGGTTATTTATTTATTTTTGACCATAAATTTGAGGCCTGACTCTTCTCTGAAATATAGACCGAAGGCACCCCCTATGTTAAGAAATATCAACCACACACGGTAGACAATAGAGGGAGAGGGGCATTTACACTTGGCACTGCCATCAATTCGGTATGCCATAGTACCTCAATCTTCCCAACTGAATGAACTTCAGGTGAGTGAGGGAAGCTGCAAATTTAAGAAAAGATCCTTCTGGTAAAATAAAAAATGTTACTTATTTGCTTTATGAATTATTGTTTTTTAATAATCTTTTGCAAAGAATCAAATATAGGGGGGCATCTGAGTCCTTTGAGCCTCCTTAAGACAAGACATCACATAAATTGTACGCAACGTCCTCCTCATACTGTAATGACATTAAATATAATCATGGATTAGGGGATGCCTGGGTGGCTCAGTCAGTTAAGCATCTGCCTTCGGCTCAGGTCATGATCCCAGCCAGGGTCCTGGGATCGAGTCCTGCATCAGGCTCCTTGCTCAGCGGGGAGCCTGCTTCTCCCTCTACCTCTGCAGCAACCCCTGCTTGTGCTCTCTCTCTCTCTAACAAATAAATAAGTAAAATCTTTAAATATATATATAAAATCATGGATTAGTGGCCTCACTATATGAGAAGTCCTCAAATTGCCCAAGGGCAATTCTCCACACCTTTTGTTCCCCCTGCAAACCTTATTCCTTGTGGGACAGAAACAAGGAAAAAAGTACAGATTGCCCAATACCGCTTCAGAGCTGATACATTGTCTAAGGCTTACCTTAGCTTCCAGGGGTGCCTCGGGCCGGTGGTAGTAAGAAGCAATCTCCTCCCGACTGGATAAGTAGCCTGAAAGAGTAGAAGGGAGAAGCTGACCACTATGCTCTAGAGTTAAGAGTGCTTCCAGCTACTTTCTGCTCCTGCTTAGAGCACGTGCTATTCAGGTTAGCTCTCAGCTACCATAGAGCAAAGACATTGACTTGATGTTTCACATTTTTTTTTTAAAGATTTCATTTATTTGACAGAGAGAGACACAGCAAGAGAGGGAACCCAAGCAGGGGGAGTGGAAGAGGGAGAAGAAGCAGGCTTCCCGCTGAGCAGGGAGCCCGATGCGGGGCTCCATCCCAGGACCCTGGGATCATGACCGGAGCTGAAGGCAGATGCTTAACGACTGAGCCACCCAGGCGCCCCGATGTTTTACATTTTTATAATAAGCTCAAATGTATGGGGGCGGCTGGGTGGCTCAGTCAGTTAAGCGTCTGCCTTCAGCTCTGGTCATGATCCCAGGGTACTGGGATTGAGCCCTGAGACGGGTTCCCTGCTCAGTGGGGAGCCTGCTTCTCCCTCTCCCTCTGCCTTGCTCATGCTCTCTCTCTCTGTCTGTCTAATAAAAAAATAAAATCTTAAAAAAAAAATAAGCTCAAATGTATGAATAATAAGGAGAATTCTCCAAACCATAAAATACTCTGCAGCATCTTGGTTACTGTGATTATGTTTTATTTTTCATAAAAAACAAAACAAAACAGGATTTAGATTATTCCTAAATCCCTTCCAGGGACTATGTTTTTTGAAAAGTTACAATCAATGCATTCAATACATTAGGTCCCTTTTAAGTTTTTTAGATCATATGATATACCTATTAGTGGTTTTGCACAATTTTTTTCTTTTAAATTCTATTCTTGGACAATATTTCCAAATGTTGACTTATAAACTTGGAGTAGAGTTAGCAGCATACAAATTATGTTTTGCAAAATTGTTTGCCAAAAAGATTCCATTCAATCAGAAAGTCCAGATACAATATTTCATAATGTTCCACTTAATAAAGACAGATGTCTTGAAGTTATATAAATCAGCACTTCCTTAATTATTCATAAGGAAGAGCATTTTCCTAGATATATATTATGATCTGTATTTCTTTTGGCATGAAATGTTCATATCCTTTGAATATTTGTCACATGGAGAATTGGTTCTGGTTTTTCAGATTGAATCAGTTCCCTAATACTTTGGGTATAAAAGTTATAAACTTGTTTTAATGAGATAAAACCTCATTTTTGGTCTTACTTTGTTTTTATTTTTGTTGTATGAAACTTTATAAAGTATAAACAATCAACCTAAAAGTTATGTCCCTCAGATCTCTCTGAAGTGTTTTTAAAATTCTATTTTAGTGGAGTGCCTGGGTGGCTCAGTCGGTTAACCCTCTGCCTTTGGCTCAGATCATGATCCCAGGGTCTGAGAATTGAGTCCCATATTGGGCTCTCTGCTCAGCGGGGAGCCTGCTTCTCCCTCTCCCTCTGCCTGCCACTCCCCTGCTTGTGCTCTCTCTGTCAAATAAATAAAAATAAAATCTTCTAAAAAATTCTATTTTAGGGGCACCTGGGTGGTTCAGTCATTAAGCGTCTGCCTTCGGCTCAGGTCAGGATCCCAGGGTCCTGGGATAGAGCCCCATATCGGGCTCCCTGCTCAGCGGGAAGCCTGCTTCTCCCTCTCCTACTCCCCCTGCTTGTGTTCCCTCTCTCACTGTGTCTCTCTCTGTCAAATAAATAAATAAATCTTTAATAAATAAATAAATAAATAAATAAATAAAATTCTATTTTAGCACAAAACTGGATTTGTATTCTACATTAAAAATATGTTGTTATGTCTTGCCTTTGTGACAACATGGATGAACCTAGAGGGTACTAGGTTAAGTGAAATAAGTCAGACTGAGAAAGACAAATTCACTTCCATGTGAAATCTAAAAAACAAACATGAACAAACAAAAAAATCAAAATCAGACCTACAGATACAGAGAACAAACTGATGGCTGCCAGGGGTAGGTGGGTAGGAGGAAGGGCAAAAATGGGTGAATGGGACGGGGAGATACACCTTCTACTTGTGGAATGAGTAAGTCACAAGAATAAAAGTCACAGCACAGGGAATACAGTCAATGATACTGTACTAGCGTCCTTTGCTGACAGATGGTAGCTACACTTGCGCTGAGCACAATAACATACAGAGATGTTGAATTACTACATTGAACACCTGGAACTAAAGTAACATTGTGTGTTGGGAGCCTGGGTGGCTCAGTTGGTTAAGCGACTGCCTTCGGCTCAGGTCATGATCCTGGAGTCTCAGGATCGAGTCCCACATCGGGCTCCCTGCTCGGTGGGGAGTCTGCTTCTCCCTCTGACCCTCTTCCCTCTCGTGCTCTCTATCTCTCATTCTCTCTCTCTCAAATAAATAAATAAAAATCTTTAAAGTAACATTGTGTGTCAACTATATTCAAATAAAAAAATGAAAATAATTTAAAAAATAAAAGAATATGTTGCTAGGTGCACATTACGGACAGATATGCAACACATTGAAATAAAGTCAAAGGATCCCTGATTTTATTAAAATGTTTAATGTGGAAATGTTTAATAGATGGAGACAGTTAAACCTAAGTAAGAATAGGGATGGGCAAAATGGGTGAAGGGGTCAACTGGTGATGGATGGTAACCAGACTTGGGGTGGTGATCATCACTTTGTAGTGTATACAGTTGTCATATTATACAGCTGTACATCTGAAACTTGTATTTTAAAAACACCTAAATAAGAATAATTTCTTTCTGTCAGAAACAACCTTCTACTCTTCAGTAGGACGCCCCCTTCTTTATATTCTAGTTTGTTTTTATCTCTTTCATCTGAAACAGTTACAACTGCATTTGAATGTGCTCAGAACCCTAGTTAAAATAACCGTCGAATGTATGGAGAAGGGAAAATAAAGCCAAGAAGCTATTTACATGGTGCAGTAAGTAAAATAATTTAGGACCTAGAGGGCTCAGTAAACAAGCAGCTGCAACCAAACTCAAGGCCTTCCTACTAGAATTAGCAATGATAGGATAGGAGTGCTATCTGAAAAAGAAGTATGTGAATGGGCGCTTAGAAAGGAGGGGTCAGCGTGCTAAAGGAAGCCAGGAAAGAAGCTGGACCTTGGTGGCTGTGTTTAAGCATTCTGAGACCTCCTTCCCCAAATCCAAATGACCATTTTGTTTTAGCCTCTCCTTAGGAACTATGCATGAATGAAGCAAGGAGAACCGCTAGAAATTTATTCCTAATAGAAGAGCACTAAAGATTTGGAAGCCACCAGATAGAGTCTCAGGAGAAGCTTACCAATGGAGGGAGCATAGCCGTTATACTTCCCCGAGTCCAGAGCATCTTTCATGGCTTGGGTAATTTCAGGGTCTGTAGGCAGGTTTCCAAACACAGTGGGGTCCCCTTTTCATGGGAGAAAAAAAAAGGAGCCACCAAGATGTTACTCTTCCATGCCCAGTGCTCAGACTCCCCCTCTACTCTCATCTTCTCCAACCAGCCGTGAGAAAGGGGGTAAGAGCAACAATGGTCGCCCCTCACCAGAGTGTCCCCAACTCACCAATTGACAGAGCAATCATGGTTTTGTCTGGATTTGGCTTCACCTTCATGCTGTCCACAATGGCCCGGATAGGATTGAAAGTTTTGTTGGACATGTCTGAAGGCTTCACTGACCATCTGGCCTTCCTGCCTTTCATTTTTCCCAACAAGGAGCTTCTCCCACCAATGTTGACATGCACATCCAGAACGGAGGGGAGGTTGCTGTTGCTGCTCATCTGAATCACATATGGATCCATCACTAGCAGAGCCTATGGAGAAAAGGAGGTCCTTGTGACTCTAAGAGCAGAGCACCATTCTGGGGGGCCATATTTGGACCTACACATCAGGGTGATTTCACTAGGCATCTCTTCCCAAACTGCCTTGTTTTGCTACATTTCTCATGCTTTCTTGTGAATGAGGGGAGTTTTAAGACCTTTTACTGAGATAGAAAATAAAGCAAGAACCCATTGCATAACATTAGCAAAGACCATTCCATGGACTACTTATCTGCTGTGAGATTTGCTGTGTGCAACCCTAATGCCCGTAAAAGTTTAACTGCTCTCAGTGCAACCAAGGGGAAGTGACATGAAAACCGTGAAACCATCAAAGACTATGTGTTGCCTCCTTTCCATGCAAAGCCTACCCAAGAGTCTTCCTAATGCTTCAACAGACTCTGTCTTGCCCTCTGCAAAGAACCAGGAAAAACCATTCCACGTGGTTAGAAATTTAGTGTTAATCTTGTCATTAGCAAAAATAAAGCCCTATCCCATAAGTATCTTACTGCCCTGTGGAAAAAGGAGTCAATACACCATAGAGAAAAAAGCATACATCCCAATTACCACCACCAGATTAGCTGAGGTTTGAGATTTTACCTTCCAACTAAAGGAGAAACAGCCTCTAAGTAGATGAACCTGGAAGCTCCCTTAGTGTTCTTCTTTCACAGGTCACAGTGACAATGGCCTTAGATGCAATTCTTGACTCCTGAAATAGTCTGCACAAATGGGCGTTGGGCTTGGAACTTTTGTGCTATTGGTTAGGGTGAGAACTGGGTAGCCAGCCCTCCCTCCCCTCCCCTCACTTTCTGCTGCTTCTCACCTCTAACCCTTCCCCCACCCCAACCACCAAATCAGGAGTTTGTCCTCACTTCAAACACCTGGAAGTCTCTGTGTTAACTCTTTCTGGACACTTTGTGAGCCGTCTGAGAGGACTGTCAGAGGGGTAGTTATGATTACAGTTGGCAATTTTTATTAAATCTCTTTTGATACAAAACAACCCAGTAACACGTTAACAATACAGAAACGTGTAAAGTAAAAAGGGAGAGTCCTTCCTTGCCCCTCGCTCTCTATACACTCTATTCTTGCTCCCAGGGTAGGTAGTGGTAACCATTTGGCCATTTCTATCCATTCACCAAGATGGATTAATAGGTAGGTAGGTAGATAGATGATAAATACATAGATAAATCCAAGATAGATACATAGATACATAATTTCATAGGTTTTCAAAACACTGAAGGGATCAGGCTTACAGTTTGTTCTGCAACCTGTTTATTTACTTCCTACATCTTGCCCTCCTTTCCCAGGTCCATGAGATTCTACTTCAGTCACAACAAACCAGGCAGTTGAAGCAAATTAAGTTCCACTCCACAAACACCTTAAATGACAGTAGGGTCTTCAAGGCAATTAAAACCTGGGCAATGTCATCTTGTCCTGTGAATTCTCCTTCATTTACCTGGTATGGAGTTATTGGGAGAATAAGATGTCAGGTGAGGTCTAAACAAAACTTCCCTAAGCACGTACAGCGGAAATCTCAGCATTCTGGTGAGCCTATGAAAAACACCGTGCATTCAAGGGTTAAGAGAAGCCTCAGGGACTCTGTGGCTCAGTTCCTATCTGTTTATTTATTGGAAGACAAAGAGTGGTTACATAAGTTCTTTCTTCTCCATTTACTTTTGGGTGATTCAAGTCTCCGGTGGGGTTGAATACCCTTTTATTTTTCTGGACCTTTCATCTCTTCATGCTTTGAAGAACTTATCTAACACATTCCCTTCCCCACTCCAAAGAAGCAAGCATTCACCACCTCGTGTTACCAGGTGAGTAGCAGAAGCACAAGGCAAGGACAGGAAGCCAGCCAGGTCAAAGAGAATTTAAGTTCTAAAGCTGGAAGCAGGGCACCCTGAGCTCAATACCCAGGACTGCTCTGTTTCAAAATGCAAGCACACAGCCCTGTCCTTACAATATCCAAAGACACAAAGAAGGAAAGGACTGTCAGTTCTGCCGTTTAGCACCTTATAGCAAAAGGCAAATGGCTTCTTTGTTTTACCAAATGGCGGTTAAACATGGCACGGACAGGTGTGTACTTCACAGGCCGGACAAGAGTTAGACTTTGTGTACTTGCCAACACAAGAACATGATACTGTTTCCAAAGCACACAGATTTTGTCAAGGGAGAAGACCTTTCTCTCCTAAATGCTTTTATTCTACCACCACCCCCATTTGAAATGCAATACATGTGTACCGGAGAAAATTAGAAAAAATTAAAAGCATTTATAATCCCAACAGCTCTTTTAACTCATTCGTCTTATTCTCCCCCCTACCCAAAGTTGGGAATCTTGTCCTAGATCCTTATTTTTGAAAAGTTGAGATAAAATTCACATAACAAAATATTCACTGGTTTCTTCATTTCAAAGTATAAGATTCAATGATTTCTGGTACACTCACAGCATTGTACAACCATCACCACCATCTAATTCCAAAACATTTTCTTTTCCTCTTACTTTTTCAGTAATTAAAATCCTCATATAGTAAATTCAAAGAGATGTTTATAAACTAACCCCTGAACATTTTTCCCCATGACACCACTCCATAGAGATGGCTGCTTTAGTCATTTCTTGTTTCTCTTTAGTGTCTTGTTTCTTTCCTTTCTTTCTTTTTAGATTTTATTTATTTATTTGAGCGAGAGAGAGAGAGAGAGCACAAGCCCAGGGGAGAGGCACAGGGAGGAGAGGGTTCAGAAGCAGGCTCCCTGTTGAGCACGGAGCCTGATGTGGGGCTCAATCCCAGGATCCTGGGATCATGACCTGAGCCGAAGGCAGATGCTTAACCAACTGAGCCACTCAGGCGCCCCGTGTTTTCTGTTTCTATACAATACTTATACAGCTGGTTTTAAAGTTGTTTGAAAATTTGGATACTACCCATTTGTTCTGTAGGTGCACTATCCCTTACTATAGCCCTAGTCAAAAGCAGCTACTGAGTACTTGAAATGTGGTTTGTCTAAATTGAGATGTGGTGTTGGTATAAAACACACATCAGGTTTTGAAGATTTATATTAAAATAATGTAAAATATCTCATCAATAATTTTACATTGCTGACATGCTTAAATATTTTGGATATACTGGGTCAAATAAAGTACACTATTAAAATTAATTTCACCTACTTCTTTTCACATTTTAAAAGATTTCTACTAGAAAATTTGAAATTACTGTGTGGTCTGCATTCTGCTTCTATTGAATAATGTTCTTTTTTAAATAAATCATTAGACTTTTTAAAATTGTATTTGTCTTTTTATTTAAATTCAACTAGTCAAGTTATAGTACATCATTAGTTTTTGATATAATGTGCAATGATTCATTAGTTGAATAATGTTGTTCTATAGCTTGCCTTTTAAAAAATCTTAACATGTTGTCTTGACATCCTTACCATTTTCATACATGAAGATCAATTTCATTCCTTTTAATGGCTATACAGTATTCATTTAACCATTCTACTCTTGTTGGACACGGGGCAGCTTCTCATTTTTTTCTCTTATAAATAAAGCATATTGAACACAGTCATTAATAATGATTGGAAATTTTTATAAATATCCTATAATTTGGGAGATAATCACATTTCAAATACTGATAGACCTGCCAAATTGATCAGCTGATGGACTTTAGAAAGAAGAGACAATACAAATATCTCTTATTTTGACAACCTGCCACTCAAGGTTTAGACTTTCAAGGATCCCAGCTACAAATGAGACTCAGGTTCAACTCCCCCTCCCACACACCCACATAGTCTGTGGGCTTGGTGCTCTGTCCTCACCTGGAAGTTAACACAGGAGCCTTAGATTACTCAGATAATCCACTCTAGGGTAGCAGCTGTGTCAGCCCACCTAATGTCTCTGGTTTTCCGATCCTTTTCATTGTTTGGCCCCTGGGGCATTCCCTTTTGTATCTTTGGAGCTCAGTCAGGCATTTTGTTATATTTTACCCAATATTTCTAGATACATACTTTTAAAGTGAACTGTAATTGACACATAATGTTACTTTAGTTTCAGGTATACAACATGGTGATTGGACAACTCTACATGTTATGCTGGCTCACCACAAGCAGAGCTACCATCTGTCACCACAGGACACTTTTACAATATAATGGATGGTGTGTACCCTATGCTGTACCTTTCATTCCCATGACTTATTCATTCCATAACTGGAAGTCTATACCTCCCACTCCCCTTCACTTATTTTGCCCATTTTCCCATTCCCCTCTCCTCTGGCAACCATCGGTTTGTTCTCTGTACTTACAGGTCTGCTTCTGCTTTGTTTGTTCATTCATTTGATTTTTAGATTCCACGTATAAGTGAAATCATACGGTATTTTTCTTTCTCAGTGGGACTTATTTCACTAGCATAATACCCCCTAGGTCTACCCATGTCTCCCAAATGTTAAGATCTTATTTTTTTGGGCTAATATTCCATTGTGTATGTGTGTCGTGTATGTGTATCAAACCTTCTTTTTTTTTTTTAAAGATTTTATTTATTTATTTGAGAGAGAGAGAATGAGAGATAGAGAGCACGAGAGGGAAGAGGGTCAGAGGGAGAAGCAGACTCCCTGCTGAGCAGGGAGCCCGATGTGGGACTCGATCCCGGGACTCCAGGATCATGACCTGAGCCGAAGGCAGTCGCCCAACCAACTGAGCCACCCAGGTGCCCCTGTATCAAACCTTCTTTATCCATTCATCTATCAATGGACATGGGCAGCTACCATATCTTGGCTATTGTAAATAATGATGTAATAAACATAGGGGTGCATATATCTTTTTGAATTACTGTTTTCATCTTCTTTGTGTAAATACCTAGTAGTGGAATTACTGGATCATATTTCTATTTTTAACTTTTTGAGAAAAACTCCATACTGTGTTTTTTTTAAGATTTTATTTATTTGACAGAGAGAGACATAGCGAGAGCAGGAACACAAGGAGGGGGAGTGGGAGAGGGAGAAGCAGGCTTCCTGCAGAGCAGGGAGCCCCATGTGGGACTCCATCCCAGGATCCCAGGATCATGACCTGAGCCGAAGGCAGACGCTTAATGACTGAGCCACCCAGGCGCCCTCCATGCTGTTTTCCACAGTGGCTGCACCAATTTACATTCCCACCAACAGCGCATGAGGGTTCCTTCTTCTCCACATCCTCACCAACACCTGTCATTTCTTGCTTTTTTTTTTTTTAATACTAGCCATTCTGACAAGGGTAAGGTAATATCTCATTGTAGTTCTTTGATTTGCATTTCCCTGATTAATGATGTTGAGCATTTTTCATGTGTCTGTTGGCCATCTGCATGTCTCTTTGTAAAAATGTCTATTCAGGTCATCTGCCCATTTTTCAATCAGATGATTTGGGAATTCTTTTGGTATTCAGTTGTATAAGTTCTTTATATATTGTATATCAACCTCTTATCAGATATATCATTTGCAAGTATCTTCTCCTATTCAGTAGGTTGCCTTTTCATTTTGTTGATGGTTTCCTTCACTGGGCAAAAGCTTTTTATTTCAGTGTAGCCCCAATAGTTTATTTTTGCTTTTGTTTCCCTTGCCTGAGGAGACATATCTTAAAAAAAGGTTTCTATGGCTGATGTCAAAGAGATTATTGCCTATGTTCTCTTCCAGGAGTTTTACAGCTTCAGGTCTCATATTTAGGTCTTTAATAGATTTTTAGTTTATTTTTGTGTATGATGTAAGAAG